AATCACGATATTACTTCTGATTGCTTTTAATCTTCCTGCTGAACAGCGAACGATGAGACGATGACTGTCGGATTGATGACCTGTGAAAATTATATGGAAGTTGATTTCGAGCAAAAAACCATGAATTGATCGCTCAATCTTCAACTACATTAACACGGGTTGATAATAATAATATTTATTTCGTATAAACGGATAAGCTTACATGAAGTGCATGACATTTTTACAGGCACGATCAACTATTTTACAAATTAAAATTGCGAATTAGGACAGATTATCACTTTTTCAAAAGTTTAAATTGTTCAATTATTGTGCAAGCAATCCGAACATATTCTTGTAGATGATAAATTGTAAACCCTTCAGGAAGGTCACCATCAAATTTGAGCTACAACCCAAACTTCGTTCCCTTTCCTTATAGTTATGGCCAATCGGTAAACAACATATGTTTGAATGAGTGCTATGTCCCCACGTGATTGAACGCTATTTCGTGAAGGGAAGGAAATCCTGCGCAGCTGCAAAATGGTATAAAATGCAATTGTAAATAATACATTATTGGAAGTATATATACAAGGTAAATACAAGAAGAAGCTATTCCATATTGGTTTGTTTATTAGATGTAACACACAGTGAAACAAATATGGAATTACTTACTACCACAGCGCTCAAGTTTTACACATATATTAACGAGAAGAAGCTGTCTGGAACTTGAAATAGTAGTACACATTTGCAATGTCTGACGATAACCACATTGGTCTTACTGTGGAAATCCATGACGTTTTCGACGAAAATACAGTTATTCTCAAACATGGATTTTGTTGTTATATTTTTCCATCATCAGAGAAACCAAACTTTATGCGAGCGAAGAGTGTGAATGAAAAAGTAAATTTCAGCTTTATTAAAGGCCTAGGGAGTCGAGATAAAATACAGTATAATAGTAACTAGATAGAAAGATTGTTGTGAGGTATATAATTGACATTTCAGAGAGAAATGGTTTGAAGGATTAGAACCTGTTGGATATGCTGACCTGTAAGATGTCTGGCGACTTTTGTATGGCCCATTGGGTAGCATCTTGACAAGAAGCTGAGCAGGCTTGTAGATGTTAGGAGAAAAAGCATTTTTGAATAATTTAGATATGTGCAGTCAGTAACGTTTTCGTGTTTTTTTTAAAAGTTTTTGAAGTGACTGATGCATGTTGTTGCTGCTGATTGGCTGGCTACCGACCTTCGTCACTTCTGTCTTCTCTATGTCTAGTCGAAGTCCAGGCTTTGCTGTCTGCCTCTTCTATAAGTTTGTTGGTTTTCGCCTGAAAGTCTCCGAGTTCGTGTGACATTAAGCATAAATCATCCCCACGCACGAAATCCAGATTTTCTAGAGTCTTATTATCATTCTACCGTATTCCTATCTTCTCATTACCCACCCACTCACAGTATGAGACATGATTCAGTCCACCACAATCAGTAGTATCATTGGTGATAGTAGTCAGCAGTCTTGTATTACTCCCGTAATCGCTTCAAACACCTCGCTGAGTTTTCTGTTGCTGATCACTTGACACGCGCGCGTGTCATATAACTATAGTTGAATTAAGTCGATGAAGGTTTGGTCAATGCACACCATATTGTTAGCGCGATTCCCAAATTACTTCTCGCTCAACTTCGTCTGTCGAACATCTTCGCGAAGTCGATGAATTTTAGGCAGAGGTTTGACTGCCATTCTGTGCATTGTTATATGGTGTTGATGACTCATTGAGTTGCAATTTGATTAGCACATGATTTGCCTTTCTTAAATCCAGCTTGTTCCGGGACGACTGAGGCATTCAGCATATTTTCATTCTTTCCAGTATGACGCTACTTAGTAGTTTACTGGTGTGAACAAGAGCCTTATTGTAGGCCAGTTCTTGCAGAGGCCTAAGTCGCCCTTATCTTTATGCTCAACGTATTTGGCCTTATCACAGTCAGTAGACTCCTTTCCTTCGTTCCAAAGCCTTTGCGATATTGGCGTCAGCATATCTGCTGAAGTGTCTATATCCGTTTCCAGAGCCATAGGATTCATTCTCTCTGGTGCTGACATATTTCCGACTGGTTGCCATTAGCTTGATTTCACTAAGGATTTCCACTTTCTTGATGGATTTGTGTCCCCTGTTATTTTTGTGAGTGGTGCTGGTAGCATTTCTGGGCGGATTTCAGATGATGGTCGATCGAAGAGTTTTGTGTTATATTTATCTCTCTTCCTTGGCGAACAGGTTGCCTTGACCACTTTTATAGGCTTTACCTGGGTTGATCTTTTGCCGAACAGATACCTGGTTTTTCGACGTCATTTTCTGGTGTCCTTTTTACCTGGGGCCTGTTCTGCCCCAGTTTGCATAGTGTCATGGAATTGTCCTTTGTCTTTCAATGCACTTTTCTTCACCTCTATATTCAGTACAGTGTACGTTGAACTCAGCTTCTCTTTCTGTCGTCCACCTTTGCGGTGAGTCATCTTTCCCTTTCACCGTCCTCCTCTTTTGCTTCCATTAGCTTTCAGGTATCCTTTGAGAGCCATCCCTCCTAAAACAGTTGTACACGTTTTCTTGAATAACACCTTGAGAGATTTCCAATGTTCTTCTTCGCAGTTTTTCTCAGTGATACCACACAATGTCTACTAATTTTCTTTGATTTGATCTGTAGCGAAGGTATCCTTTGAGGTTTCAACCTTCCATTTCTGAATGTTGAACTTGAATTGTGGCCCGTATCCGTTTGTTTTGAGGAATTTCAACTTCACCTTGAAGTTTGCTTTAACTAGATGATGGTCTGAGCACATATCTGCTCCAGTTTTCGGCTTTTTATCCAACCATCTCCATCTCTACTTGCTTGAGATTGAGATGAGGTCTATCAAGCTCTCGGAGCGCATTGAAAATCATGTTATCTTGTACATGTTGCTGCAGCCAGCGAATTACTAGGTGCATAAAAGTGATTAGCTAGCCTTCTGGTTTCTACTAAAGCTTCTAGACCCATGGTAAATTCTGTTTCTGTATTGGATGCCTCCAGTTTTGTTGGCATTTATATAGCCCGTTGGGATTCCATGGATTTTCCGGAGTAGAGACGCTAGAACCTCTCTCTTTTTGCTGCCCATGGACAGAAAACTTGCAAGCTAGTAAATTAAGGTATGCCTGGTATATCATATGCTGATATTTCGCAGATGGCTGTATAATCAGTGCTACAGCATAATTGCGAACAGGTCACTCTGTTCCCTTCTTCTTAAAGCCGTTTGAGTCTCCTTAAACGATATGGCAAACTACTAACAATCAACTAAGCAGTCAGATACTTTAGTTATCTGTCAAGGTGTTGTGAATTCACTATCTTCAAGAGCTACAAAAAGCTTTACTGAGCTTTTGTTGTCTCTCAAGGTAGATACTATCTGTGAGGGGCACGGCTAGGCTAAACTTCCGAGTTCTCCATGGATATTCATTTCATCAAAACGAGCAAATATGCTGCCGTTGATTCACCTCCTAGCAGATAATATTGTAGACAGATATCAGCCCTGGTGGAATGGCAGAATAGCAAAATGGTGGGATAGGGACCTTAGTTATTTGGAAGGGGTTCTCATTTTGTCTGTTTTCACCGATTCATGCAGTTACGAGAGAGATTACATGAGTGGGCACCAAAATTCACAATTTTACAGTTAGAATAACGAAAATCTAACAGTTCATAAGCTTGTCTCTCGTGTATTTCATCAAGAACGCGATATCAACAATAGTAGGCCGTGACTTGCACGCTTTCACTTTGCATTGAGATTTAAAAATGCCGGCAAAACCTTTTACGAGTAACAACCAGCTCTTGAAGTAGGATTTTCTTCTCTATCAAGTTGTCACTTTGTTACCGGAACACCTTCACCTGATCAAGATTGTTCACTTATATGTTTGACTCTGTTTAGAAGTGAAGACGACCCATTCCTCTAATTTCACTTTTCCTTTCTGCGTTAGTACCATTAGGACAGAAGGGTTGTTGTCACAATACCCGGTCTCTAATCTGAATTACATGGATTAAGTCGGTCATTTGACAAGCATGTCTTATTTCACTTGTACTCACAAATCTGTTTGTGTTCTTAAATTATACAGAAGAAAGTGAATTTGTTAAACAGCCAGTTTTGGCTGAGGATAGTACATGTTACGTCTTGTGCTGAGGCAGTCAACGTGGATTGCGGTGCTGGTGGCCTCTGCTCTCAGATCAGATTATGAAAATGAAAGAGCACAGAGAAGAATGCGACAGAACTGAAAACTTCCAACCTAATCCGTCAGATTAAACACAGTTCCTAGTTGCATTGTAGGATTTTAACAAGTTACTTTCCAAATGAAGTTATTCGCATTTAGATACTTGATGGGTCATTTTGGAATACACCAGCATCTGTATGAGCTAAATCAGAAATTACGCTGATTATATACGGTCAAAACAGTAGTTAGAACTGATTTAAAACGAGAAAACGCTTGACATCATCTAGCATCTGGCAGCAGTCCGTCGCCAAAAAGTAGGCTATGTTCTTAAGCTTTCAGAATTTTGACTAAGCAGTTCAATTTCATGGGTTATGGGCCTTGTCTATAAAAATTTGATTTTGAAGCATCTATTGAGACTTTTTGGAGTAGGACTCTGAAGAATGTCGTGAGATTCAATTTCATTATTCCTAACTACATTGGCCGTAGTTGGCTCTAATTTGATTCCACATTCCTCTGTCATTCTATGGTTGATTCTTTATGCTGCGTACCTGGCTTAATTTATACTTACCCTCTCCTCCCCTAGTATCTGTTAACAGTCCTCATCTACATTCAACCAGCACTCAACACTATGTAATACACATACGTATATATTAGTCTCCTTCTGGAACACAGTCAACTTCACCGTATAGTAAACGAACGGCCGTTTTTCAAATATAGAAGGCCAGTGTAATACATCGATTGCTTAAATCAGAAAAATGAGCGCAATAAGTGTAAACTGCTACAGCACACATACATTTAATATTGAATAAACTCACATAATTGGACGTGCACCTTAGCGGCTCATTTGGAATATCTGTCAACTTTTTGTGTTTTCCATAATCACCATGCCGGCAGTGCAAAGGAGGGTATACAAGGTGGATAAAATGCAGAAAGCAGAGGATAGAATCAAATCCAATCCATGGGACATAGAGGCATGGAGTGTCCTTCTTCGTGATGCCCAGGGCAGAAGGATTGATGAAGCCAGAGAGACTTTTGAGCGTATAGTCGCCCAATTTCCTGTAGCTGGACAATATTGGAAGACATATATAAATCAAGAGGTAATATAATAAGCTCAACTAAAATTTCAGTTGAAAGCGAAAAACTATGAAAAGGTTGAAAAGTTGTTTCAACGTTGTCTGGTTAAAATTTTAAGTATCGACCTTTGGAAGATTTATTTGCAGTATATTAGGGAGACGAAAGGGAAGCAGCAATCATTTAAGTGAGTCATACTTTGGTGAATCTTTATGGTATAGAGAAAAGATGGCTCAGGCTTATGACTTCACCCTCGACAAGATGGGCTTGGACTTGAATTCCTATTCTATTTGGGCAGATTATATATCCTTCTTGCGTTCAACGTAAGCGGTAAAATTTTTTTTGCATTATGATTTTTTGTCCATGCCTCCAAAATATTTGGAAAATGATGACTGCGTCGATTCTTGAAACTTTACGTCCGATGATATTAGTAAAAATCATATTTAGTCAAGGTGACGTAAATTATATATGTCCAAACCAAGTTCACTTTTAACGGTTTGAAAAAATTTGGGTATTGGGTATATGATATTCATTATAATAGAGGTTTTTGTACATCCCAATGAATGAAAAAACAGTAAAAACAATCTCGTTTGTTTTTCATTCATTGGGAAATACAAAAACCTCTATTATAAGGTGACGTAAAGGTGTACAAAAAGCTTCGTAATAGAACTAATGCAATTCTTGCTGCCTAGATCTATCATACAGTTGGTCGCGACATACACTATTTGTTTTACCTATTTCCAATAATTAATGAATATTTTATTTCGTTCAATATTCATAAAGTTAGTTTAGTTCAATAATATTACTGGTGGAAATTTTTGGAAGAGCCGTTAGTTAAAATTCCCCAATTTTTATTGTCCGTCTCTGTATGGTTTCAACACAGAACTTCGCACCGATGTGCACCAGTTCGAGTCGCCATATTTCACTCAACACGCAGCAACAGAAGCAATTAAAAAGATATGCAAAATCAAGACAATAAACAGTGGTGTGAGAAAGCAATAGTAATAACTAAGAACAATATTTATTTATATTTTTTTAATTTTTGATTACAGCCTGATTCCATACTGTATTTTTGATACAAGTATGGAATTTTCAACATGGATATTGGTAGCCCAAATTTTGCAGGCCAACCATAGATAACAGATGTGCGTCGGCAGGGGATCGAACCTCGGACCATGTGCATGATCGACGAGAGTCGTAACCACTGTGTCACCGACGCACATTTCATTGGAAGTGAGTTAGGGTTAAGTTCATTAGTACATCTATGATGAAGTTGAATAGAAATGGGGATAATGGGCATCCCTGACAGACACCACTAGTCGTCGCCACTTAAGATGACAATTCGCCGTAAGCCCTCACCTGGCTGCATGAGTACGAGTAGATTGCAATGTAGTGCAATGTATTTTCTCGTCATTCCCTTTACAGCCAAGCATGCCAGAGAACCTCTCGGTCGACAGAATCAAATTCCCCCTTTAGGTCAAGAAATATAATGATTGTTGGACGCCGGTAGGAATGCCTATGTTCTAGAATCTGTCGGAGGGTGAAGATATGATCAATACACCCTCTTCCTGGTCTAAAGCCTGCCTGGCTCTCTCGTGTTTGTGCCTTTCGAGTACCGCTTAGTCTACGCATGATTATTGAGCCTAGGACTTATATTAGAACTATATTAGTCAAGCTAATCTCTCTGTGATTATCACAGGAAGACTTGTCTCCCTTCTTGTATATCGGGATAATCAGTGACTTACACCAACCCGATGGGACTTCTTCTGATTCCCAGACGCTGCCTAATACCTCAGTTAATCCAGACAGTAAGCTGTCTCCACCGTACTTAAATACCTCTGGAGTCATTCCATCAGGTGTTGCTGCTTTGCCTAGTTTCAGATTGGTGACAGCTTTAGTAACCTCAGTTAAGGAAGAAGAACCTGTGTCTATATGCTATTCAGGGATGTGTTGGATGTTCGGCAGGTTAAGCATGGCTGTAGGCCAGTTAAACTGCTCTTCATAATGCTCTTTCCAGCGTTCCAGCTGTTTATCCTGGGAGCTAATTATGGTGCCATTTTTCTCAGAAACTTTCACTTATCATTTGCCTTTTACCACCTGTATCCCTGATAAGCCAAAATAGTTGTCTGGTGTTACCAACTGCCGATGCCTTTTCCATCTCCTTTGCTTGGATTTAGTTAATTTTCGCACCTGGTTTTATTAGTATGAACGACCTCGCTTTTATGTGCACTTAAATTTGAATTACACTTGGTAAACAGGGAAAGATTGTTTGAGGATTTACCACATATACTTTCAAACAGCTTGTAATATTCTTATAGACTTTTTAATAGGTGTTAGGTTACACACAGTATGCGCTCTTTTGGTAATCCATTTCTACCGATTCCTAAATGAACAGTGTCTCAGAGCATTATCTAAATGATATAGATTTCAGTTTTATTGGGAACAGGATGCTGGAAGCCTGTGTTAATCCGTTTCTAATAAATATCTGTGCTCGCCCAAACCCTTCGTGAATGAGTCAAGTAAGGGCGCCAACACCACTTCTGGTGTTGGTAGTCAATTCTAGGAGTTGCTGACAGTGGAAACCAGTACATGTACTCTCCCGGTGAGTATATCTGTGGTGATCCTAGTAATCATTCTGCGTATTGCCCATAAAGATCTGAAACTACGAGCTGCTATCGTCTGACAGTAGGCCTTAGTTCTTAAGTCGTGGATTGTGATATCTAGACCCATATGAATATGAGCTCATGGAAGTGTTACCCTCTGTTTCATATGAGCTGACGCTTGCATGCCTAGATGGCTACACTGGTCTCATTTCTGCGACTCTTTGATCAGATATCTTCACTTTTGATTTTCGACTCAAATTTTTTGGCTGCATGCACAAAATTATACTTTCATATTAGGTGGAGATATTTATATTTACTACGCTTTGATGTCACATTTTTAACAGTCAGGTTCAAGGCTCATATGCCGAAAGTCAAAAAATAACAGCAACTAGACGCGTATATCAACGTGCCATTGTCACTCCTATGCTTGGCATTGAGACTATTTGGCGTGACTATTGTATGTATGAAAATTCAATCAATCCACTTATTGCTAAGAAGTTTACTGAGGAACGTTGCCGGGACTACATGAACGCGCGTCGTGTGGCCAAAGAATACGAAGTAATTACCAAAGGATTGTCTCGAACAATGCCATCGGTACCACCCCAGAATACACCGAATGAAGCTAAGCAGGTCAGTGTATGGTTTATGGTATCAGCAATAATAAAAATATTTATTTTATTCCTTTGTGTTCCGAGTGGAACATAGGCTTGAGCTTTGAATTCCCAGTAGCACTGGTGTTTTTTTCCGGGCTAAAGCTGCTAGCATCACGCCCCAGCCTTTCCTCTTTGTCAGGCCTACAACGGGCTAAGCGAGATAAAGATACGTGCCGGCCAGGAATCGAACCCTGGATCATATGTGTATGGTTGAGGAGCATCCTACCTCTGAATCACAGACGCACATAGTCAAAATACATAGGTTATAAAAATGGATTCAGTGTTTCCTATCATCTAACAATTTTCAAATATTTGATTCTGTTGACTGACTGACGTGTTTCAACATAGAACCTTGCACCGATGTGCAGCAGTTCTGTGTTCTGAGGTCGATTCTGTTACTTCCTATTTAAAGAATGTTGAAACTTTGAAACCATCTTCGTTTTTGTTTACTTCTTATCATGTTACTGCATTTCAATCGTATATTTTTAGGTTGAACTTTGGAAGAAGTACATCCAATGGGAAAAAGACAATCCATTAAGAACAGAAGATATTATCACTGTCACAAAAAGGGGTACGGAGAATTTTGCGAAATATTTTTGAAAAGATATTGCTTTACGTCAGTGCTTAATATTAATGCGTTTTGGGGTTTGTTAATTTTTTAAAATTTTTTAGCAGATCTAACTAAGGATGTTAAAAGTTAGTGGATAAAAAAGTTAGAGTTTCTAAACGAAATTTAATTAGTGGTCTTTCTCTATTTCGAAAAAAAAACACTTCAAGTTCTACGCATAACTCAGTCTGTTAAGACTGCATATAAGGATTTAAACTTAGACTTCATCAAATTCTAATTCAGGCCTATTAGCTTCAATGTGTTACTATTCATGACTTATTAAGAACAAGGTTTAGCTGTATGACATTATTATTATATTATTGTTCCCTTGGGTTCCTAGTGGAACATAGGGCTTCAATTGCAGGTCTTCACTTGCCACTTCTGTTGTACTTTTCACCTGAATCCATCTTAGTCCATACTGTTTCAATTCCTCAACTCTTCACACGATCTCCTCCATGTCACCCTTGCACTGACGTCCCACTCACCGCGTGCTTCCCTTTCGGCCTGGTTACACTCGAACAATGGCCTGACGCGCGCGCGATGTCACCCAGCCGTCTCCTCAGCGAGTGTCCGATCCATCTCCACTTTCTCCTGCATATATGTTGGTTGGCGATTGGTTCTTGTTTTGTTTGTTCCCATAGTTTCTTGTTTTTGGTGATTCTTTCCGGCCCGACCATCTAATCTTCAGTATACAGCGAAGACAGTACAGTTGTTGATAAACGTCTGCAACAGGCTGGTGGAAATATTCTTTGTGAACCGCCCGTCAAGTTTCTAATCCGTATAGAAGAACTGACTGACTTGACGTTTGTATTGAAAATCCGAGTGAATTTTGTTGTTGATGCTGGCTGAGTGAGGAAGATTTCCAGATTGGTTGTTTCAGGTTGATTGATAAATGTGTTTCTCGCCTTCTCGATTGTCGCTCGATTTGACATCCTCGTCCGTCCCTCCTGTAGTTGAGACAATGCTCCCTAGATAAGTAAATGAAGTAACCTCTTTCAAATCCCTCTCGTTGATGGTGATTGGCGCTGGATGTTGGTGCTGTTGTCCAGCTATGTTCAGCTGGAGTCCTGTCTTTGCTGCTTCTTCGACCAGTTTGTTGGTTTTCGCTTGTAAATCTTCGATTTTTGTGGGACATCAAACATAAATCATCCGCGAAATCTTTAGAATGAATTTGTCAGAGATATAAGAGTTAGCTTAAATGGACTTTTCCATTTTGTAAATTTATTCATCAAATTGAGTATGAATCAGTAACTTCTTTCATATCCCACGCAAAAATAAGTTTCTCAATAGCTATTAATATTTAAAAGTCTGAAAACCTACTGACTTATTTCATGGTTGTGTAAATTTTTTGTGAGTAATTTAAGTGCTAACCTACTGAATATGTTACATGAAGATCGATTTTGGTTCAAATACACTAAAACCCGCGATCTCTTTTTTACTCTTTTCTAGTCATGTTTGCATACGAACAGTGTCTTCTCTGCCTTGGACACCATCCTGATATATGGTATGAAGCTGCTAGTTATCTGGACCATGCAAGCAAAGTTTTGGCGGAAAAAGGAGTAAGTATCCTTCCTGTTGTAATACTTTGTTATATTTATTGTTATATTATAACTACAGATTTTAGAGTCTGAAATTTTTTTTCCGCATCATATGTTAAAAGTAGGTTTGAATGCAGGGAATAGTCTTTTCAACAAATGCTCTACGTTTGCGTGCTACTATACGGTATGCCAACTAAAACTGCTCGACTTTTGTGCAAAGTTCTGTGTTTATTTTTGATGACTGCAAGAACCTGAAGAGATGAGTATGACGTTGGAAGCAATTTTCCTTATCCTTTCGTATTTGATCAATTTGCATTATTTTCTTAAAAATTGAATGTTTTCTTCTCGTCAAATTCAGTGATATGAGGTTAAGGTCGGGGTTAATTCATTCTCTAATTTGGTCGGACTGAGTTCAGTTCCGTTATTTACTCATCGTTTGAGAATACCGAATGTATGTGTTTATAGTCTAATCTCTCTAATTGATATGACTGGTTATCAGTAGATAAGATAGTAATAATAATAATGCTAGTACTTAAGATAGTATTTGTTAGAAATCAAGCCATTGACTCCTATCTGCTATTTTTTCCTTCACGTTCCCCAGTGGAACATAGGGCTTCAAGCTAGAGACTTGAAGTTTCGGTAGCAGTGCTGTTTATTCTTACGGGGTGGGGTTGCTGGCCTCATGCCCAACCTTTCCTCTTTACCAGCATTATTTCTGGCTTATTGAGGTAAAGGAGTGCGTTGGTGGCCGGGGATCGAACCCCGGACCATGTGCATGGTGGGCGAGTGAATAGCCTGAATAGCATAGTGGTAACGTCTTTGACTGCAGCGCTGGGTGACGCGGGTTCGAATCTCAGAAGGGATATGAGTTCCTTCAAGGTTGCAGATACGCCTTGCTGACTGGTGAGTGCTAAGTAGCACGAAATCTAGGTGAAGTAAGGCTTCCTGACGATTACCTCCTATCTGTTATCGGTTTTGCTATATTTTATCAGATTCTCACTAATTGTAAAGACAAATTTCTCGTAATCTGTACATCTTTCATATATAATGTGGAAAATCCGCTTCACACATTATGAGCAGTAATAATTTGTGCTCGAAACGTGGGCATCAGTGAATATTATTGTATAACACTGTGTGATTTATCAAAATAAAATCTTATCCATAATAGATTCAATTATTTTACTGTGATGAACTTGTTGAATGTGGTAGTCTTCTGTAACTTAACCTCTTTTTTTAAAATAAATATATTCAGTGGTTTAAAATGTAGTTAAGGTGATAGGGTCGTTAACATGATCAAGACAAACTACTGTCGATTGGAGTGTCGTGCTGTTAGAATTTTAGAAATTCACGTTACCATTCCATTTGTACTTTGGAAAGGTCTTCAACAGCGTTGACCACGAAATGATCTGAAAACACTACTTCAACATTTTGGAGTGCATTATCCCAAATCTTTATCCACCTCTTGCAACAGCTGTTCCATGTGATTCACAACGCGAAACTGAGTGAGGCATTTGAAGTGAGTGAATACAGCAGTAATACAAGGCTGCTCACTGCTATCACCAAACAAAAGAGAACAGGCCGCGTGTGACCGGCCTCAAGCAGTTGTCCCCTGGGCTCTGCGGTCACGCAACCAACTTCCACGGTGTGGGCAGCCGGGAAGTAACAATCGCCCTCACAATCCGAAATGCACACGAAACCTCTCTATTACTCACTCATCTTTGTCTTCATCTTCATCTCTATCATCTTGCCTTCCTTCCACTGATGCAACTCCTCGACTTGATAGCTCTCCACTTCCTCTCCACTCTGCGTCCACTAAAAACGATGGAAGCCAAAAAACCACCACCGACAGCCTCTTAAAGCCGCGCCACCAATTTCATATAGGAGCTCTTAATGTTAGGACACTTTGCCAAATAGGACAACAAGCATCACTAGCCAAGACCCTGGCATCACGAGCCATTGATGTATGCTGTGTTTCAGAAACACGCATACAAGACCCAAGTGTGGTTATTCACCTAACCCCACCTGGCCAACAGGTTGAATCTGCAAAATTCACCTTGAGGGTGTCAGGAGATGCCACAGCTAGTTCACGAGGATTAGCTGGCGTAGGGATAGCTTTGAGTACTAGGGCAGAAAAGACATTGCTTGACTGGATCCCGGTAGATAGCCGAATGTGTGCTGTCCGCCTGAACGGATCAGTAAGAAGGAGGAAGGACTGCACTACTCGCCGATGCCTTTTCGTAATCTCCGCCTACGCCCCCACTGACTGCAGTTCAGATGAAACGAAGGATGAGTTCTACCAAAAGCTGTCTAGTTTGGTGCGAAAGGCTAAACGCTCAGACATAGTCGTTCTAGCTGGTGACTTTAACGCTCAAGTAGGGAAATTGTGTCAATCTGAGAAGGATGTCGGTGGCACCTATGGAGTTCCGTGCCAGCGAACCGACAACGGTGACCGTCTCCTACAGTTCTGCTCTGATAATCATTTGTTTCTTGTAAGCACTAACTTCAAACACAAGGAGAGACACTGTTTGACTTGGAGACCCCCTTCATCAAACCAACGCTGGACACAAATAGACCACATAGCAATAAGCTATCGTTGGCGTGGGTCGGTAGGAGATTGTCGCTCCTTCTGGAACACGTGCGTAGATACCGACCATGCACTGGTCCGCGCTCGGGTGTGCTTACGACTGAACGGACGTAGGAAACAGCTGGCGGTAAAACCATCACGTCCCCAGCTCGATCAGGAAACTAAATCCGTATTTGAGGAAGAACTAGCTAAACACATATCTGTGTTCGACAGCTGTGCTCACCCTGAAGAAGCTTGGAAAAATATCCAGGCAGCCATAGATACAGCTGTAAAAGCTGTGAATAAGGTAAACCCAAAGGTGAGTAAAAACCACTGGATCTCCACCGCCTCATCCGAACTGATAGATGCTAGAAGACTTATTCCGGCGAGCTCCGAATTCAATGAGGAGCGAAAGCTGCACAAGAGGAAACTTACGAAAAGTCTCCGCAAGGACCGTGAACAGTGGTGGGCGACAAAAGCCAAAGAGATGGAGAAAGCTTCGAGGATAGGCAACACCAGGCAACTCTTTAGACTCATCAGGGAAACGGGTGGGAGAAGACAAATCATCAGTGAGACAATCTCGGAAAAAAATGGCACTATAATTAGCTCCCAGGATAGACGACTGGATCGTTGGAAAGAGCATTATGAGGAGCAGTTTAATTTGCCCACAGCCACGCTCAACCTTCCGAGCATCCAACACCTCCCTGAATGGGATATAGACACAGGTCCTCCGTCACTAACTGAGGTTACTAAAGCTGTCACCAATCTGAAACTAGGCAAAGCAGCGGGACCTGATGGAATGACTCCAGAGGTATTTAAGTACGGTGGAGACAGCTTACTGTCCGGATTAACTGAGGTACTAGGCAGCGTCTGGGAATCAGAAGAAGTCCCATCGGGTTGGTGTAAGTCACTGATTATCCCCATATACAAGAAGGGAGACAAGTCTTCCTGTGATAATCACAGAGGGATTAGCTTGACTAATATAGTATCTAAAGTCTTAGGCTCAATAATCATGCGTAGACTGAGTGGTGCTCGGGAAGCACAAACACGAGAGAGCCAGGCAGGCTTTAGACCAGGAAGAGGGTGTATTGATCATATCTTCACCCTCCGACAGATTCTAGAACATAGGCATTCCTACCGGCGTCCAACAGTCATTATATTTCTTGACCTAAAGGCAGCATTCGACTCTGTCGATCGAGAAGTTCTCTGGAGATGCTTGGCTGTAAAGGGAATTCCGAGAAAATATATTGCACTGATTAAGGCACTCTACTCGTACTCATACAGCCAGGTGAGGGCTTACGGCGAGCTGTCATCTGAACTGATGACGACCAGTGGTGTCCGTCAAGGATGCCCATTATCTCCTTTTCTATTCAACTTCATCATAGATGTGTTAATGGACTTAACCCTAGGTGACTTCAGCGACTCAGGGATTGACTTGCTACCGGGAATAATCTCGTTGACTTGGAATATGCAGACGATATAGTCCTTCTAGGCGAAGACGCTGACGAAATGCAGAGTCTTCTAAACACCTTGAGCCGCAATCTACGAATGTTTGGCATGCGATTCGCTCCCGCCAAATGCAAGATGATGTTACAGGACTGGACTACATCGACGCCTAGTTTAAAAATAGGAAGTGAAGTGGTAGAGCACGTTGACCGCTTCACTTATTTGGGAAGTACCATCAGCCCCAACGGGCTGATCTCTGACGAAATCTCAGCACGAATACAAGGGGCTCGTTTCGCATTTGTTAGTTTACGCCGACTCTGGCGTAGACGAGATGTTCGACTATCGACCAAAGGGCGGGTGTACTGCTCATCAGTCCGCTCCGTCCTCCTTTATGGTTGTGAGACCTGGCCACTGAGAGTGGAAGACATGAAAAGACTAGCTGTCTTTGATCATAGGTGCCTGCGTTCTATTTCCCGTGTAAAGTGGCATAATAAGGTGAGCAACATTGAGGTTAGGCGTAGAGTTCTAGGTAAACAGGGGAAATCAATCGACGAAGTCGTGAAGTTACAAAGACTGAGATGGTTAGGACATGTGTTACGTATGCCAAGCCATCGCCTCCCTCGACGAGCAATGTTAGCGGATATAGGGTCAGGCTGGAAAAAAGCTAGCGGCGGTCAAACAAAAACTTGGCACCAGTCAATGAAATCCACAACAGTTGGTCTAAGCCACGTAGGAAGGTGTAGACTTCCAGGCTGGGGTCCTCGGGACGGTAAAAACCAATGGTTGGAAACAATTGGTGACATGGCTCAAAATCGTTCTCAGTGGCGCAGATGCATCCACTCCTTGTGACTTATGATCTCCAATGAAACTGTTTTGTTCTTCGTTACTACTCCTTTGTCTCACACCTCTGTTTACTGTTTCTATTATGCATTTCTTGTACTTTCTTCTCTTGCTTCGCGTGCTGCACGGAGTGTGGCGACTTGAACTTGTGCACATTTGTGCAAAGTTCTATGTCGAAAACAGACAGGCAGACAGACATCACCAATGATACTACTGATTGTGGTGAACTGGATTATGTCTCATACTGTGAGTAGGTGGGTAATGAGAAGACAGGAATGCGGTAGTATGACACTTACTTTACTTCGGCTATAATCCTACGGGAGGATGAGCCGGCTTCATGAACATCTCGAATCATCGCTGCCCAGGCGCAGCGATCTGATGCAAGGTTTTGTGACAGGGTTATCCAATTCTTGTTCCACAGACGGAGTCCGTAGACGGTTTGTAGCCCCAGGGACTCCATATCAGCCTTGACTGTACCAAGCCATGTTTTCAGCTGTTCAGCCCTGCGACATCGCCAAGATGGAAATGGCGAGGGATTTAGAATTGATTTGATTTGACCGAATCGTCATCTGGTCGGCGCAGAACATGGCCGAACCACTGAAGGCGACGTTGTTGGACCAGTACTGGAATTTGGTTGATGTTGTAGAGAGCTCATGAAGTTTCATGGGAATTAGGTACGAGAGATGTCCCGAGCATCGCTCGGCCTTTTGTTTGAGAGTGCAGCTCTAGCCTTTACACAACCAAGCGTGACCTCCAAGGCGGTAGGAGTGGAGTAGGGAGTCCACTATCCATTGGCAGCCGGTGACCGGAGTCCGATTTATACGGCTTTTTGAATGGGGCCAGACATCCGGGCATCCAATAAGCTGTATGTCCATACGTCTGCCAGTGAGCTCCGGTGAGCTTCATACGCCAGTCGTTGGAGGTTTGGAATCAGGATTTAGCCATCTAAATGATAAGAATACTCTAGAAATCTGGATTTCGTGCGTGGGGATGATTTATGCTTAATGTCACACGAACTCGGAGACTTTCAGGTGAAAACCAACAAACTTGTAGAAGAGGCGTACAGCAAAGTCTGGACTTCGACTAGACATAGAGAAGACAGAAGTGACGAAGGTCGGTAGCCAGCCAATCAGCAGCAACAACATGCATCGGTTGCTATCAACGCGAGAAATTTGAAAGTGGTTATTTCTTTCATTTGTCCAGGTAGCATCGTTTCAACTCCAGGTGGAACGGATGAAAATGTCAAAACCAGCCAGCCAAAAATTGAAAAGGCAAGACCAACCTTCATCACCCTGGAATCAGTTTGTAAAACTTCTTCATTCTGCAGCATAAACAAAAAGATTAGGATTTTGTTTACCAATGTTAAATCGGTCAGTCAATTCTTTTACATGGGTCGTAAACCTGGTGTTGGTGTCACCAAAGCACTCACATAACAGCTTGGTGCAGAATTTTACCAACAGCTGCCCTCACTGGCTGCATACTGAAGGTAGGATAATCAGTCAGGAAAAGTTATCGACGCGAAGCTTTGTGAACGACCAAAGTAGAAACCTATTGTTCTACAAGTATCGAGAAGAAAATGAAAATGAACTGGGCAGACTTAGAGGAGACCGTCGAATGACGTCGCGCACCAGGCCACCGTTTGAGTGGAACTCGAATGTGACACGACGGGGGTAACACAGAGAAGACGACATGAGGAGATCAGCAGGCATGGGTAATGGTGGTTCCAGGTGAATAGGACCACAGGGAATTGAAGAAAGTGGAGAGATGCTGTTGAATCGCAATGTTCTACTCACAACCCAAGGGAACAGTAATAATAATAATAATAATAATAATAATAATAATAATAATAATAATGCACATGCAATTCATTACTTTCCAAAATCTCAATACTTTGATTTTTGTCTGCCGTCACTTAATGTTTCCTTTTAGTACGAATCATATACCGTTTTTTTGTGTCGTTAATTCTATTCCCTTGTTTTTACTGTCTGTGAATGATAAATGTGAGGTGATTTGGACATAAGTCATGTATAGTTTCATTCTTCCTGTGTGACTAATCAACTGTCTGTCTGTCTGGATTCAACATAGAACTTGGCACCGAAGTGCAGCAGTTCGAGTTGCCACGTTCCAAATAGCACACAGAGATAGACAAGAAGATGAGTGAAGAAAATCAATACAGTCTGACAAGTATAAGAGTGAAACAGAATGGGTAATGGTAGAAAGGAATATGAGGGATTACAGAGACTGAATACATCTGCGCTGGCCATTGACAACGATGAGTTTGAACCATGTCACCTATTGTCTCCAGTCATTGATTCCTAGAGTCCCGAGGGTATTATAAAGGAGAAAAAACGTCCTCCCCCTCACGAAGGTCTACTCTGTAACGCCTGATCGAATCGGAGCACAAAGGAAACCCACAAAGTAACTTAAAGTACTCTTTTAGCAAGATATTCACGTATTCTATGGATGACTTTAAAGTTACTTTGTGGGTTTCCTTTGTGCTCCGATTCGATCAGGCGTTACAGAATAGACCTTCGTGAGGGGAGGACGTTTTTTCTCCTTTATAATACCATTAGAGTAGGTGTCCGGTGATACATTTAGATAGCAAACTCTGGTTGACGCCGACATACCTAGCTCCACATGAGCTAGTCAAGTGAATTGGTAGATGCACATTGATGAGACCAACAGTGGTAGCTCATCCTTCACGTTCATGCAAACCATTGGTTTCGTAGAGAAGGTTAGTCGAAGTTTAGCCGCGAAGAAGGTTTTCTTCAGTGAGGGGGACAGGTGGTTCTTCAGTATTTCTTCTGATGAATCTCCATTGAATTGTAGATTCATGTAAGGCGGTTTTTCGGAAGCAGGTAGTGTGGGAGGTTTTGATGGTTTAGGTGTTTCATGGATTTTGTGATGAAACGTTCTGGGCAGCCATTTTCTAGTAGAATTCTTTACAGAGTGTCCAACTCCTCTTCCATACTATCGGGACAGGAAATGCTGTGCATTTTACGACTCAGTGAACGGGTTAGGCTTCTTTTTGTATATATAGAGACAACCAACTATGAAAGTTAGTGAGTTGTCCGTTCCAAGTTGGCTTCATTCACATGGAAATTGTTTGCGTTGATTGAGGCATTTTCAAATAAGAAAACTTCTGAACTTACTATACACGCGTAAAATTGTAGTTGTGGTTTAGTATAATTTCCTGTTTATTTTTTGTGCATTCGGTTAAGCATACAATATTGCCGTGGTAGTTATTTTGGTAACATTTCAAGCACAATTTCTTGTTCATTATCATATTATGCTGAAATTATTTATTTTCAAGACCTTCTTTCTTATATTGTAACATTCACAGTGTGATTTTATACTGCAATTGTTTTTTTTCAAATTTCACATGTAGGATCAAACAACTGCTAGACAATTTGCTAATGAGACAGCTGCAATGTATGAAAGAGCTATTGCCTTGCTTAAAACAAACATGATGTTATATTTTGCCTATGCTGATTACGAAGAAGGTCGATGTAAATATGCAAAGGTTCATTCCATCTACAAAAAATTAGTTTCGTTAGAGAATATTGATCCGACATTGGTAAGATGAAGTGGTGGAGTTTATATACATTTAACCCATTGGAATTCCGCCTTATTTATTTTACCAGAAGATTTATACACTTTTATTCCCCTATATGAATTTGAATAAATCAAGAACACCGGAATGAGATGGTACCATCATTTGTGTCGTCGGCTTCTCATCAGCTGCGCCTAAAGAAATTACAAAGTTTATGTACATTATGTGTGACGTTTGTTGTGTACACATCAATAGTTGATGAAAAGTCAGCCGATGGCACAAAAGATGGTACCACTTTATTCTGGACAAGCCATCATGCTTTCTTTATTCAGGTATTTGTTTGTGCTCTCCTGAAATCTGTCATATTTTTTTCAGTACTAATTTTCTTAGACTTTCATTATCTGGAATCAGGAGGGCAAAGCAAATGATGCTTTCGGCACGTCTGTGTAATTCTGTTGATAACCTCTATATCTGATTCCATGCGAATGCGTCACCTGATGAAGAATGTTTTCCTAGGTGACTCAGAGTTCGCTAACTAGCTGAATTCTGTAGTAGTTTGTGCACTTCTATTCTTATATTACCCAAGAAGAACAAGAATTATCATTGTAGCTGTATTGTATTCAATTGAATAATAACACAGAATTCAGAAAAATAAAAGCCAGTATGTTCTTCATGCAAACATACCCAAACATACGGTTACAATAATAACAGTGTCAAGTTAGCCATTGTCTTTCTTCGCTGGGGGACCTTTTGCTGGTCAGTCGGTAGTGAAGATTGCCCCTGTGACTTTCCTTACCAGTTTTTGCCAAATCTGAAATCGTTTGAGAACCCGGTTTTGCGTTGAAGATCCCCAAATGAGTATCTGAAGTATAGCGCAAGGCTCAGTGAAGTGGAGGCGTCTATAGATTTTATATTCATAAAATCTATCGAAACAGTTCGCTACCCCAAAGCCTACTGTAAATCATTACATCTCGATAATTAGACGAGAGAAGCACGTTTTCGGTCCAATTCAGAAAGGTATGTCCAGAACTTTTCTAGTATGGTCATTGATATGACTGACGGATTTAGAAGTCTTATCTCTCGGTCTTAAATTTTTTTGTGATAATAATATCAAAGTCCATAAAATGAACGTTCACGTTCAATTTGAAAACTTTTATTCTCAAACGACAGACTTAACGCCTTCATCAGGTGAGAAGGTTAATAGATTTAAGGCAACTTTGGTTGGTTGTTATTACATGAATACATGAATAGTAGAGGTAATACAAAGGGTATTTTAACCGCTCTTTTAAAACTTAGACATCTTGTTGCTAACATCTATTAGTCACATGTTTTGATGACTTTTGACCTTTTCATTTCACCCTCTCTTTTAACCTAAAAATAACCACTTGATTGGTAAAAAAATATTGACGTAAAAAGCAATATATTATTGTACAGCCGATGATGAGGAACTTATTGGAAAGGGAGTGTATATTTCTTCGCTCAATCTGTCGCTTTTTCTAAATGCGTAAATGGGGACTTGGAAATTACTGAAATCTGTAGTTATCATGTGATCACCTGTTTTATAGTTTCACCACCGCATTTGGATTTCTCTTCTAATTAGCGAAAAATCTGTATGGACATTTGTAAACGTCTTTAAAATCTATGCCTGATTGTAGGTCAAAAATAGTTAGTTCACACTAGTTTTGTTACTGTATGCCATTTATTTGTTGCCTGTCATGAAGTTTACCGTTCTCCTAAATTTGAAATTCCTCATCTTTTGTGACTGAATTGCACTGTCATCATCGTGAGCTATGAAAAATACTTTCCCTGCCTCTCTCTCTCTGTCTTTCTGTCTGTTTTCGACATAGAACTTTGCACAAATGTGCGGGAGTTCAAGTCGCCACACTCCTTCCTTGTAGCACACAAAGCAAGAGAAGATAGTAGAAGAAATGCATAATAGAGACAGTAAACAGGGGTGTGAGACGAAGAAATAAAAGTAACGAAGAACAATGTAGTTTCTTTGGAAATCATAAGTCGCAAGGAGTGGATGCGTCGGCGTCAGTCATTGGGAACGATCATTTTGAGCCATATCAACAATTATTTCCAGCCGTCATTGGTGTTTACCGTCCCGCCATAAAGGAGGACGGAGCGGACTACTGGTCAGTACAGCCGTCCTTTGGTCGATAACCGGAATTCACGTGTAGGCCAGAGACAGCGTAAACTGGGATGCGCGAAACGAGCCTTCTGTATCCGTTCTGCGATTTCGCCAGTGATCAACCTGCCGGCACTGGTTGATGGTACTACCCAAATAATTGAAGCAGTCAATGTCCTCTACCACTTCATTTCCTATTTCTGAGCCAGTAGTCAGTGTAGTTCAGTCCAGCCCTATCTCAATACTAAAACGACTCGTTTTTCTCTCATTCCTATGCGTTCCGAGTGGAACACAGACAGGATTTCAGGCTGTGGAGAAGCTTTGAAGTTTCAGTAGCGGTGGTGATTTTTTCTCATTCTCAACCCCTTTCCTCTTCTCTGGACCTACAAATTGACCATTAAACTAGGCGAGATCCAAGGGTGCATCGGTAGGGATTCGAACTCCTCCTGACCACCGACGCGCAGAATGACTTATAACAAATATTGTTAAACGTCCATAAGAGTACATTGTAGCAACTAAATAAATGTTAATCATCTTCACCCGAATAAAGAGCATTTTGAAATATAAGAATCCTTTTTGTTTTTGTATTTTGAGGAAAGTTAGCTAATCACCGTTGTATGCATTAGTTTTTATTTCACGATTATATATTTTTCTGTTTCATATATATATATATATATATATATATATATATATATATATATATATTTACTGCCAAAAACTGTCGTGTATATTTTTGGTTTAATTATGTTTAATGCATTTCTTTGAACTAAAACCCATAACTTCCAAAATATTTTAGCCCTATATCCAGTATATGAGATTTGCCAGACGTTCTGAAGGTATCACATCTGCCAGGTATGTATTCAAACTTGCTCGTGATGATCCACGCATTACCTATCATGTATATTGCAGTGCAGCTCTCATGGAATATTTCTGTAGTAAAGTAAGCTTCTTTCACTCTAGTTTAAGTTAATTTATTCCATCCAATGAATTGTTCATGTGCATTGTTTTATTGTATAAAGGTAACCAGATATGTGTTGATTAAATCGCTATTATATTCAATATTGTTAATGTCAGTTTGTTAGAAATCAGTTATTCAAGTACTGGTGTGTGAACCGCATTTATTGTATTGGAGAGCTAATGATACATCACTCAAACGGAAGTATGTTGGGCAAAACTCGGACCTGGGATCCATTGAATGAATGTCGATCGGGTGCTAAATCCAGTGAGCATCTGGAACGTTAATACTTCTATGTTACTACAGGACCCTTGACCCTTATGAATCAGTCAAAAAATCTGCACGAATTTACACTTCGAAGTAACACGCAGAAACTGAGAGAATAGAAGATATGACAATTACATTGCGTCGATCGAGAAGTGATTTGGGGACATCTTCAGTACTATGGGGTGCCGCCAATAACTATACGTCTCATCCAACAGTTTTACGACAATGCTGCATGCCAAGTAATCCACAGCAAGAACTTTACGGAATCCTTCGAAGTGAAGACGGGAGTAAGATAAGCTGACTGCTTACTATCTCCAATGATTTCCCTGATTGCGTTAGACTGGATAATGCAACAGACAGCGGGGAGCGAGGAAACAGGCGAAAAATGGACCCAAATAAAAAAGAACCCGGAGGATCTGGACTTCGCCGATGATATATGTCTGATTTCCCACAAACTGGAAGATATGCAAGCGAAAGGCAACAAGTTGGCAGAAGAAGCATCCAGAGAGGATAGGACTTCAGGTGAACATAGACAAAACAGAGTTGACGAAGATTCCTGGCCAACAGTCACAACCACAGCAACAACAGACAACAATCAGCCAGGAAAATGGGAGAAATCTGAAAGAAATAACCTCCTTTACCCACCTAACTACTTGGGAAGCATCGTTTCAACTACAGGCGGGTGGAACTGATGAGGTTATTAAGGCGACGATTGGGAAAGCAAGGCGACCTTTCATTACTCTCAAATCTATATGGAGATCAACAACACTCAGCATGAATACAATAAGATATGGATTTTCAACTCCAATGTAAAATCAGTGCTACTTACTATACGGATCGGAGACTTGGCCAGCGCGTCACGAAGGTCACTTCGAACAAACTACAGACCTTCATCAACACCACCAACAGCTATCTTCGCTCGGTACCACTTAAGATCATATGGCCGGTCAGAAAAGTTCAGCAGCAGGGTTGGATCTGTGGCCATGAGTGAACCGGCACAGCATGAACCAATTGTGCAACAAATATGCAGGTAGAAATGAAGGTGGATTAGCCATATTCTGAGAAAACAAACAATCAGGTGACATTACATTCCAGGCCATCGCTCGAGTAGAATCCGAATAGGAAGTGGCGAGTTAGTTGGTTGTAAGTGCAACAGTGAAATCGAGGGGGCCGTGTGAAAAGATGATGAAAGCATGTGAGCAGATGTGGAACCAGGTGAAGACGTTGGCAAAAAACCGAACGCAGTGGAGACGTGTGGCTGAAGGTGTATATTCCTCTAGGAACTAAAGGAAACAATAAGGTAATTATAAATAATGATCACAACATATTTATTGTAGGTTAAAAATGATGATGAGGTGAGTTTATGTAAAGAATAGAAGATTGCGGTTTACGGATTACCGCATACATCATATCAATAAGTTTTAATTATACTTCATAATTAAACACTAAAATCACCAGTCAAGTAGACGCTGTTGTGTTTCTGAAGGAAATGCAAGCAACCTTCTTCCTAAAAAGCTTCTGCTTTATTTCACGCTGACTTGTAGTCTCAATGAATGTGTGTGAAATACTTCTGTGTGTGTGTAAAGATATTTTCTGAAGGCTTCAATTTTTGGTTGGATGGAGGATTTCATCATGAGCTAACATCTTACTTATTTTACTTCGGCTATCATCCTACGGGAGGATGAGCCGGCTTCATGGACATCTCGAATCATCGCTGCCTAGGCGCGGCGATCTGATGCAAGGTTTTGTGGCAGGGTTATCCAATTCTTGTTCCACAGACGGAGTCCGTAGACGGTTTGTAGCCCCAGGGACTCCATATCAGCCTTGACTGTACCAAGCCATGTTTTCAGCTGTTCACCCCTGCGACATCGCCAAGATGGAAATGGCGAGGGATTTAGAATTGATTTGATTTGACCGAATCGTCATCTGGTCGGCGCAGAACATGGCCGAACCACTGAAGGCGACGTTGTTGGACCAGTACTGGAATTTGGTTGATGTTGCAGCAACGACGACGCACTTCTTCGTTGGAGAGTTTGTCCTGCCAACGAACATGCAGAATGTACCTGAGGCACCAATGGTCTACTATCTCGAGTCTGAGTAAATCTTCCGCGCATAGAGGCCAGGTTTCACAGCTATACAGGAGAACGGATCGTATGGAGGCTTGGTAGACCCGAATTTTAGTCCTGAGACTGATTTCCCTCTTACTCCATAGAACGCTCCTCAGCTGTAGAAACGCATTCCGGGCGTTGGAGATTCGCGCATTCACTTCGTTTTTCGCTTGACCGTTGGGGAGCATCATGGATTCCAGATACCTGAAGGATGGCACAATTTCAATAGGTGCTCCATTCAGGGATAAGATTTCATCATTGCTGGTGGATGTGTTCGAAAACATTTTAGTTTTGGAAGTGTTAATTTCCAAACCGGTAATAGGCGCGAGGTGGTTTATCTGATCGAGCGCCTGTTGCATATCGGAGAAGTTTTCAGCTAATAACGCGACGTCGTCGGCGAATTCGAGGTCGGTTATGTGAATATAGGGCGAAAGTTGGACGCCGTGGTGCTCGGTTAAGGCGTGCCGCAAAATCCAATCAATTGTGAAATTGAACAGGATGGGGGATGCTGGACAACCTTGCCGGACACCGCTGGTTACCTCAAAAGTGCGAGACTCTTCACCGTTCACTCGGACTCGAGCTTTGGTGTTGGAGTAGTATGACCTGAGCAGGTTGATTAGCTTGGTCGGAACTCCGTCGAGCTCCATTAGATATTAGAGTGCTCCTCGATCAACTGAGTCGAATGCCGCTCGGAAGTCGATGAAGCAAGCAACCGTTGGCTGTTGGAATTTGTCCCTGTGTTCCAGAATTTTTCGCAGTGTGAATAATTGAGCTGACATCGGTTAGAGAACCATTGGAAAACCTGCAAGGAGTGCTGGATAGCCACTGAGTCCTATTTTGAGACTCTTCGTCAGTATGCACCAACCGCCTGGGTTCGAACCCAGGATCTACTGGTTACAAGGCGAGCCACTGAGACGCGATTCAATGGCCAGCCCATGAATTCTAAATTCTCCTTCGATTTTTGTTATTAAAAAAACACTACATATTTTCAATTATTTAACTATTTTAAGATTGGTTACTTCTATTTTTTTCTGTTTCAATCAAATATAGGATAAAACTATTGGACATAAAATATTTGAACTTGGCATGAAACGTTTTGGCGGTATCGCTGAATATGTATTGTGTTATGTGGATTTTATGGCTCACTTGAATGAAGATAATAACATACGTGTCCTATTCGAACGTGCTTTAGGATCGAATCAGATATCACAAGAACGTGCTCGTCTTATATGGGCAAGATTTTTACAGTTTGAATCACAGGTAAACAAATATTCTATATATCTTCTGTGCACGACTGTTATTTATTTTCGTGTATATTATTATTATTACTGTTCACTTGCGTTCCGAGTGAGTGGAACCTCAGGTTTCAGCAGCACATCTCTTCTCTACAACCATCTTCATCTGGCTCCATAATTGCTTATAGACAGACTTTCATAGAATCCTTACATGATCTTATGCATATCATCTTCGGACGCTTAACTCACCGTTATGTAATCAGGTGGTCCCACCTGAGCGATGGATGGCCTGCTAGGCGATGTATCACACAATGATCTCCACAACGTTTGTTCTATCCATCTCTACTTTTTTCTTTGACTTTTTTGTTGAGCAATTAGTTGTTGGTTGGTTTTTTTGTTCCCAGAGTTGTTTCGAATTCTATGTGGCGGCTATCTGATCCTTAGTATGAAGTTATGGTTGCTATGATTTCATGCAGTTCAGTGATGTGGTGATTTCATAACTTATACCCCATAGTCATGGTTCTTTTTCTCTATGGTTATTACTGAATAATACTCTATTTACGGGTTTACTTGTTAACTCCATTATTAAGAAAGAATCACATCATCATCATATTGCGTTAATATAACGCAATAAAAGCTAAATTTTGTATTAAATTATTCTCACCTCTTAACTATTTATTCGTTTCATATATATTCCTATGATAACAAGAATTATTAAATCGAGTAGTTGTTTCCGAAAAATAATGTTTCCCTCTCCAAGCTGTACAATTATGAATGCACTAGTTCTTAGCATATATAGTAGTGCTAGTAAAGTCAAATTGCAATTATATCAGAAAGTGTATTGTATGATGCAGGAATAAGATCAGTGGGTTTCGATATTATCACTCAAATCCATAGTAAAGTTTATGATCCCTAAAAACATTAACTAAAACAATTCAGTGGTGTGTTTGCATATATATATATATAATTGGTGGATGGTGACTGGTAGTCCAATCCAGGATGTGCATTTCGTCCTATTTGGGACTCGTCAGCTAACTGGATGTACCTGCATTTCCCAGTGGGTGATGATGTTCCCACCGGGGCTCGAACCCCCAGTGCCCATAGTTTCAAACGCCTCGACGGGAACATCATCATCACTCACTTGGGAGTGCAGGTGCATCCAGCTGACAAGTCCCAAATAGGACGAAATGCACATCCTCAATTCCACTACTGCTAGTCACCACCAATTAACTTCCAATTACATACCCGGACATCGCCAAAGCATCTGCACAAAAAGCCGACATGTCAACCTGAGACCTAGCACTTCTGCTCAGTCAGTCGATAGGAAAATCTAAAATACTATATATATATATATATATCGTTAACAAATAGGACAGTTATAATCATCGGGGGTGAGAGACAATATGAATACTCCAGACAAATTAACCAACAAATAGGGATATGCTCGCCGTAAGTTCATATGTGACAAATAATAATAATGAAATAATAACGCCAGCGAAGAACTTAATAACGTGGAACGAATGAACAGGTTGCTATGATTACAGTAACAAATTTGAAAAGCATTGCCGCCTAACCTGAGTATGCGTTGGTGATTCAACGGTAAAATGCCCGCCAAACACACATGTGCTCCGACGGACACATTCCTAAACGTCACTAAGTCGGTAGTAAGCCTGATAAAATAGGGAAGATTTAATAGTGTGAAATATTCCCACATCACATGAATTAAAAGTCAATCTGAACGAAGAATATTACTTTCAATAATTTCTCCTTTTCAAGCTTTTACCACTATAAAATATAATATTTGTTGTCGTTAGAGTAATGAGACCCAGTTATGCGGCGACTACATTTTCGTTAACGTAGAATGACAGATTAGTTATGGGGTGCCAAAATAAATAGTCGTATTTGTGTGATGACAAACGTGCTAGGCTGAAATCGATTACAAAATAATGTGAAATTTCATGCAATTCTTCCCATTAATAAACTTGAACAAAGCAAGAACAACAATTGTACCAGGATAATATGAGCTCATCTTTTATTATTATTTCGAGGATTCTTCTCAACTGGTTACAACCTGAACGATAGAAAAATACATGAATTACATTAAAGATATGGACATACTTTTCCACGATCTACCAGGGAGTAATTGGTAGGAATTAAAAGTAACATCAGTCGGGAATGATTTAACTGCTTAGGAGTTACAAACACTGACTATTTATAGAATAATTAGACAATTAGACTTGGAAACAAGAAAACAGGGTTGCGTATATATGTGTGTGTACAGAAACAAGGTTTAGCTAGAAAGAGCATAACAAAAAAGTAGATTAAGTAACTAAAGAAAGCATCTTATCTAATAGCCAATAGAAAAAGGGGAAGAAAAGAAACAAGGTAGGGTGAGTCATGTTTAGATGAGAGAGTAGAGTTTTCTAAACATGAAAAAGGTGACTCATGAAGGTTGTATATTTTTTTATGTTATCACCAGGTCAGTGCAAGATTCACTACTTTCTCTTTCTGCGTACATAGATTTGGTTTTAGTCGTCTGATGGCAATTGCTTCAGCAAAGCGTAGCGAGCTAGGTTTCTTTTGCTTGTTGATTATTTTAAACGACTTCAGGTTGTCTACAGTATGACCAATGTCCAATAGATGACGAGCAACCGCACTGTTTAATGCTTGCGAACCTTTCAGTCTCAGGTTCTTTAGTATGTGTTCATAAATGCGGACACTAACCCTTCTCTCTGTTCTTCCAATGAATGTGCTTTGGCACGTACATGTAAATTGGTAAACAATAATTCATTTCCATACCTGGATGCAAGTTCTTTTGTCACTATTGCTTATTGAAACGATCGACAAAACGAATGAATTATAGGATGCTTGTTACATTTGACCATTCAACTTAAAACAGATGCAATTTTTCGAATTCGTAATGTGAACCTCCTTTTTTTCCTACTACAATTTCTTCGCAGGTTGGTGATTTAGCAAGTATACTGAAGGTGGAGAAACGTCGTCTACAGGAACTTGGTACTGCGAAAGAGTTCTCAAGGCTGGAAACTGCCCTGCTGATTGATCGCTATCGATTTTTGGATTTATTACCTTGTTCTGATTCAGAACTTCGATCTCTTGGATATCGAGTAAGTGTTTGTCTTGAGAGATGGTGGTGGTGACTTCTTTCAGTTTCCACTAGTGAGTTTTCCCCTATGAGAAGGGTAAATGGATAAACCCACCACTGAATTCACTGTGACTTTTCAAAGTTTCGATTTCTTTCTTTTTCAGGAATTAACTCGTTTTCAGTTGGCCGGTCTTAGTAAAGGCCATGACGATATTCTCTGTGGTATAATCTCTTCCCATGGTGCAGCTGGAGTTTCTTTAGGCTCCACTCTTCCTGGTATACCAGGTAGTGGTGTAGTAGTAAGCGATTCTTTTGTACCAGTAATCGGTGGAGTTATTAAAAAGCCAACCTATCCTCAGCCTGATGTTGCTCAAATGCTACCGTTTAAACCAAAGGCATATCCTCGTACAGGTAGTCATCCTGTAGCTGGTGGTGAGTTCCCACCTCCACCAGCTGCTTCATCTTTGCTGAAACTTCTCCCACCTCCACAATGTTTTCACGGTCCTTTTGTTGATGTGGATAGATTTTTGGAGCATTTCTTAGATTTGGAAGTTCCTGACGGTTAGTTCCCCTTTTTTCTCATTCAAAGTAAAATTTTTAATATGATTTAGTTGCGATAATACGAAAATACTTTATTCTGAATGTTCAAAAAAGTTGATACAGATGGTTTTTACCAGATACTGTCTAGTTTGATAGTTTGGTAGGTTGCTACTCTACACTGTGGATTACTTTGTTGTTATATGTTGTTTGAAGTTTGATTACGGATTGATGACCAGTATAGAGAATCATTGAGAACAAACACCGAGTACTGCTAGACAGTTGTTTCCTTCAAGTTTAGCACTCATTGCCAGTACACACGCACCCACTCTGCATGAGCTGGAACCCATGAACGACTGGGATCCTCCGAATCGCTAACCTATGAATTCTAACCTCTACCAATTTGTTAGTAGTGTAACAACAGAAGACAAGGACTGGCAACAGATCATTTTATTACGGAAATCAGCACGTATTTATACATATTTTATGTACATTATTAGAGCTTATTCAAGTAGACAAATGCAATCTTCTGATTGGTTGTTTTTGAGTTTCTCGGAAAGTGGAGCCGTCTGTCTGCGAATCACGTTTAAGTCTGCTGTGATTGATTGTTGAATCAGCCTTGTTCATATATTCTCACGGCCGATATTAGTGACCTAGACATTGACGTAGATTAATGTCGACCAATTGGCTAGCAGCCTGCTCTCACCACAGTAGTATTTCAGTCTAATAATAGAATAACTCGTCATAGTTTTGTAGCAACATGAAGAAAACATTGACAACTGAAATACTAGAGTTGTAATGAAATGTTTCAATAGGTTAGTCTTCGACTAAGTGGAACCAATTAAGTTCTAGGTTCCAGTTTAAAGCCACTTGGAAGATTTAAATCTTCCCATTCCTACTGCTGTATGCATGTTATACTCTGCAAGTCAGAAATCACCAACCCTGCATCATAATCTAAAGTGAATACTGTCGTTTTAAAACAAGTTTCATAATTTAAAAGCTTTTTTATGTATAACAATAATTTAGATAAAGCAATAAGAAGACGTAATTTGTTTGAATCGTGTTGTAATCTGTTATTTGCGTAACACATTTCAAACAATCTAATCACACACGGACTTGTCGTAGGAATATATGCGTGTGAAATTAATAAAGAGTTAAGAGGTGAGAAAAATCCAGGTGAAGTTAAAAGGACATATTCAAGGTCAAAATAACAATGAAGACCACTAAAACCAAATAGCAGAGGTAATAGTACATCTGCTATAGTATCAAAACAAAGTTTATCAAGGAAGGTGGTTTAGTGTGATGACGAATGGTTTTTGAACGCTGCTGTTAAAAAGACTTTTTATGCAGCTAATATCGTAATAATTGAGAATGTGAAGCCAATATCTCTATCTAAGCCCTTCGAACATGAGAAAAATGATGTCACATCCCCTGTATTTACCAATTTACCAATGTAAGTGTGTGTGCGTCGGTGGCACAGCGGTTAGGACGCTCGCCGACCATGCACTTGGTCCGGGGTTCGGCCCTCGGGCGACGCAATCCTTTACCTCGCTTAGCCTGAAATAAAGCTTGTAGAGAGGAAAGGTTGGGTATGAGGTTAGCAACCCCATCCTGTAAAAATAAACACCACTGCTACAGAAACTTCAAGCCACTAGCCTGAAGTCCTATGTTCCACTGGGAACGTGAAGGAATAGAGAAGAAAAATGTACGTGTGAACACATACATGGGGAGGACTCATCGATCTCTGCAAGTGATAGCTTCACAGCATATTCCTAAATGGCTCCAAAAACAAATGGAATCTTCAGAACCCATTAACGGTGAGAAAAGGAGACCTAGCTCTTCTATTGCGAAACATATTGTAGAGACAGGACATAAAATTGACGTTAACAGATCTTTTAAACCTATCTATAAAACGTGTTAGGTACGTATACTACAGTTTGTGAAAACCCCAGCATTTAGAAAGTTTAAACAACCTTTAATGCATTCAAAGCAACAATTCGTCATCACACTAAACCACCTTCCTTGGTAAATTTTGTTTTGAGACCATAGCAGATGTACTACTACCTCTGCTATTTGGTTTTAGTGGTCTTCATTGTTATTTTGACCTTGAATATGTCCTTTTAACTTCACCTGGATTTCCTCACCTCTTAACTCTTTATTAATTTCACACGCATATATTCCTACGACAAGTCCGTGTGTGATTAGATTGTTTGAAATGTGTTACGCAAATAACAGATTACAACACGATTCAAACAAATTACGTCTTCTTATTACTTTATCGAAATTCATAAAGGGAACGAATTGTTTTAAATGTAACAGTAATCTAAATAATTTGCAATTGAAATTAAATTTTTGCGAATCGTTGTTGCTTTAAAATGTCTTTAGATTATATGGACGTGGTAGCCGGTGAATCAGAAGAGTTAACTGTTTGCATTGATTCTGGTACTGCCCTGTCTATTGAATTGGCTAGCACAGCGACTTCAACTGCTCCTCTACTTTTGGCTGCACGTAAACGTCGACAACACTTGGCCTTAGAGAATTTAACAAATCCTAATAATCGTGCCTCGAGTGGTAATCAAGCGAAATTGCCTAAAATTGCAAGTCTCAATGCATTCGGTGACTCAGAAGATGAAGGCGGTAATGAAGATGATGATGATGATGACGACGAAGATGAACGTGCTGCTGCTCTTTTAGGCGGGGCGATCCTCGGGACAGGAGCACAGTTACGACATACGCTTACAGCTGCTGCTTTAAACTGTAGCGCCCCGATGGATTTGTACAGAGTACGACAATTGCAAAAAGCTAAGCGATAGATAGGTGTGTTCGGTTGCCCATAAAAAAAGTATCCCATCCTAATTGTAAAAATGCTTATTTCTTTGGTTTCTTTTTCTTCAATGAATTCTCGATTTGTCTATATGATAAATTGTATTTCTTCCTGGTTTGTTTAACTCACTTCCGGTGTGTATAATTTCACCTGTTGTCAACACTGGTATTATTTGTAGTGGGTTGGTTAAAATTTATTTTTAAAGTACGTCTTTACTGTTTTTGTTATAACGGATTGGTACCAACTGATTGGCTTGTTGTCTAACTTGACTACAATTAGCGCATTCGGACATGACACTCTGCAGCCAACTGGTCACTTGAAAATATTCCCCCCTCCCCCTCAACTCTGAGGTGGACACAAAAGTAAACTTTAACTGCGACAATCCCGACAACAACAAGTTTTCATTATTCAAAACACAGGGTATGTGTTTCGTTTATACAACCGCGGAAATTCAAAGCGTCAATACACAGTCAATATGCGGCCGTCGACCAAAGGGCGGGTGTACTGCGCATTAGTCCGCTTCGTCCTCCTTTATGGCTGTAAGACCTGGCCATTGAGAGTGGAAGACATAGAAAAACCAGCCAGCTGTCTTTGATCATAGGTGCCTGCGGTTTATCTCCCGTGTGAAGTGGTATAATAAGGTGAGCAATATTGAGGTTAGGTCTCGGTCGAGTGCTAGGTAAAGAGAGGAGCGGAGGGGAAATCACTCGACGAAGTTGTGAAACTACATCGACTGAGATGGTTAGGACATGTGTTGTGCATGCCTAGTCATCGCCTTCCTCGACTGACGGGCAATGTTAGCTGACATAGGGTCAGGTTGGAGAAAAGCTAGTGGTGGTTAAACCAAAACATGGCACCAGTCAATGAAATCTACAACAGTTAGTTTAAGCCAGCCATGTAGGAAGGTGTAGACTTCCTGGTTGGGGTCCTCGGTAGGGTAAAAACCAATGATTGGAAACAATTGGTGATATGGCTCAAAGTGATCGTTCTCAATGGCTGGCGCTGATGCATCCACTCCTTGTGACTTATAATATCCAATGAAACTATATTGTTCTTCGTTACTTTTATTTCTTCGTCTCACACCTCTGCTTACTGTCTCTACGCGTTTCTTCTCTTGCTTTGTGTGCTACATGGAGGGAGTGTGGCGACTTGAACTGGTGCACATCGGTGCGACGTTCTATGTCGAAAACAGACAGGCGATCAATAACTGATTGATTACATGACGCTGAAGATCACCCAGAATAGATTAGTTAAAAATTGTCCAATCAGTTGGTTATATTGTAACGACAGAATACAAGGGTCAGGTAACAGATCGTTTATTTAGGAAATCAACACATATTTATAGATTTTCATGAACATTATTATAGGTTATTGTAAGCAAACAAATACAGTTTTCTGATTGGTGGTTTCTCGCTGAACGTTAATCTTTCATCTCCTTTTTGTGGTCGTTTCTTGAAGTTCAGATTATCTATCTGCAAATTTTATCCGCCTACGCAAACAAAGTCTGCTGTGACAGGGTTATTGAGTTAGTCTTTATTCTTATTTTTCTCATGACCAATACTGACGTAAATTACTGTCTACCGATTTTTGGCTAGCAGCCAGCTCTCACCACAATATCAACGCATGCATTAATCATAACTGCACCACTAACTATGATGGTTAGTCCATCCTAACAATTTTGCGCTCGAATTGAAACAGATGTGATTTAACTCACAGTGCGAAGTTCTATAAGGCTTTTTCGATACTTTGAAGTGACGAGGAATTCTGTCGGTTTTTATTAGCATGAATTCTTTTTGAATTTTCACCAGTTCATGTCTATTGGTATTTTCTAATGGTTATTTCTAACTCTTATAAGAAATGTTTAAGCACACGACACAGTCTGTAAAGGTCCATTCATCACAATACAGTCAACCTTCAGAGTGAGTTAGCAGGCAGACAAAGAGGGGAGAGTCGGCCAAGTTAAACTTTAAGCACTACTAACTACCAATGGAGTGCGGCCGCACAAATGACCTTGAAAAGCTCACTGAGCAAGTTGGTGGTATCCAACATATCATAATGTCATCATCAATAAAATATACTCATCGAAGTATTATGTTACTGTTATGTACTCGTCGCTAAATTGTTATTATGGTCTGGTCGAGAAACTAATAGTCCTGACGCGAGAAGGCGGAAATCAGAAGACCAGTAGGTTTGCGATGATACTTCTATTGTCCAAACACAAGGAGACGAAAATAAAATGGTCTCACACCAAAGTGGTAAGTAAGTAAAGTAGTTCACACAGAATGTGTGAACGAAATATATATATATATATAACAAATATATAGCAGACATGTCAAACAACCATATATGGATATATGTCACTAAGCAACGGACTGTCAACAAACACTCATATTATATATAATATAATATAAGGAGAATACACATTAATAAAGGAGACAAGTTCATACAAGTGAAATGGTCACAGACTAAGCGAGCAAACAGAAAGAGAGACCAACATACACACACACATATATATATATATGTGGATACATATCACCTCCCCTTTTGAGAAGAGTGATGATTAATAGCGTGCTTTCTTGGGGTTTATCTGAAACCGTTCAGTTTGTTGTCGACGTCTGTTGCTTCGTCTGCTTGTTGAGTTTGCGGCTTCTGCTTTGTCTGACGTTGTCTGAGCTGCGCACTTCTGCTTTTCTGTTTTGTCAGTCGTAGGTAAGTTAAAAGTATCCAAGAGAATATCCAGAGGTAGGGATGACTGTGTACTGGTAGGGATATTTGAGTTTCTTGGCCGCAACTGATTGTAGTGACGGGTCCATAATTCATTTCCAACTTTCACGTCGTACATAACTCGACCACGTCGTGCTGAGATGGAACCTTTATTCCAAGGTTTATGTCCTCCTCGATAGTCGCGGACATAGATAGGGTCACCAACATCAAATTTTTTTTCATTCCGAAATGATGCGTCGGCATGTTTGAGTGTCGGTGGTAACATTGAGTTATGAATCGTTCTAAGTTTGCGTCCGTAGAGAATTTCTGCCGGCGATTTCTTGTTCTGTGTTGACTCATTCGCCGTTGTACGGTACACCATCAAGAATTTTTGGATGATGTCAAATGGTGTCCCCTCTCCCTCTGCTTTGAGTAAGGCTCTCTTCAAAGTGTCGACAAAACGTTCCGCTTGGCCGTTTGACTGAGGATGATACGGCGGTGTGAACATATGCTCGATAGCATTTTGATGACAGAACTGCTGAAACTGATGAGAGGTAAACTGCGAACCATTGTCTGTAACTATGGTTTCTGGGAGACCATGATGGGAGAATATGTCAGTGAGAGCTTTGAGAGTCTGGGACGTTGTCGGCGAAACCATTGGTATAACTTCTGGCCACTTAGAAAAAGCGTCTACCACCACTAAATAGTATGCACCATTTGTAGGGCCAGCAAAGTCAATATGAATTCTGGACCAAGGATGGGATGCTGGAGGCCACGGTACGGGAGGTAGCTGGTGGGGTAGCTTTGCTGATTGTTGACATTTTGAACATCGTTGAACAAAGTCGATAATATGCTTATCCATATTAGGCCAGTATGCGTAGCTGCGAGCAATACTCTTCATCCGCTGAATACCAGGATGTCCCATGTGAAACTGTTTCAGGAGTTTATTTCGTAATGCTTCAGGTATCACTACGCGTTCTCCAAACATCAAGCAATCTTTTACAACACATAAGGAATCACGACGGGCAAACAGGTGTTTTAGGTCTCCACTATATTTTATCTTTGGCCAATTACTGGATACATACTGTGTAGCACGTCGTAAGGTGGCATCGGTGCTTGTAGTTCGCTGGATTTCTGCAAACGTTACTGGTAGAGATCGAATAGCATTGTCGATGAGGTTAACTGCATAGTCTTTGGTGGCGATCGATGCAATTACCATATCTTCACTTGATGCAGGATAGTCGCTAATTAGCCGAGATAGAGCGTCGGCTTGACCAAATTCGTTAGTTCGGTTGTATTTAATATCGAAATCGTATCCAAGTAATATTATTGCCCAGCGTTGTAGTCGGTTAGCTGCATGTACCGGGATACCTGATTTAGATCCGAAAATGGAAAGTAACGGTTTATGATCTGTCAGCAAGGTAAATCGGCGGCCGTAGATCATTTTATGAAAACGTCGTACGGCGAAAACTAAAGCTAAGGCTTCTTTTTCAATTTGTGCATATTTCTTTTCTGCCGCAGTTAGTGTTCGAGATGCATGCATTATTGCTTTTTGTGAACCATCTGGGAAGACATGTAAAATGACAGCTCCCACTCCGCTTGCTGAAGCGTCCGCTGCAACTATAATTGGAAGTGTTGGACTATAATGTGTCAGAAGCAATTCAGAAGTTAACATAGACTTCAACTTTTCAAAAGCTGATCTGCAAGCTTCGGACCATTTCCAGGTTGCATTCTTTTCGAGTAGTCGATTGAGGGGGTGTCGAACATTATGCAGCGCAGGGAGAAATGCAGAGTAATAGCTAATTAATCCCAAGAAAGAGCGTAAGGAAGGCACATCAGTAGGTGCGGGCATCTCTTTTATAGCACGTATGTTGTCAGGATCTGGACGTCTACCCGATGCATCAAATATAAATCCAAGGTATTTGACAGATCTCAAGGAGAACTGACACTTCTCTGAGCGTAGTCGTAGACCGTTGTCCTGCATGCGTGACAAAACAGCTTCTGTCCTGCTGTAAAGTTCGTTTATAGAATTCGCTACCACCAAGATATCATCAAGATAGACGGCAACACCCGGAATACCTGCCAAGATAGTATCCATCAGTTGTTGGAAAATAGCTGGGGCAGTTTTAACTCCGAAAGGTAATCTGTTGTATTGGAACAAACCGCGATGTGTATTAATGGTAAGGAGTTCTCGGCATTCTGGGGCTACTTCCACTTGTAGATATGCGTCAGCAAGGTCCAGTTTTGCAAAATAAGATCCACCATTTAAAACAGTGAATAAATCATCCGGTGTAGGTAAAGGATAGTGGTGCTGTTCTAATGCAGCATTCAACCCAGTAGAGAAATCAGCACAAATACGTAGGGACCCATTCGCTTTCTTGACAACGACGATGGGTGCTGCCCATGCCGAGTACGTGACTGGTGTTAATACGCCTTGTTGTTGCAGTCTCTCCAATTCTTCGTCAACTTTTGGTACAGATGCATATGGAACTGGCCTCTTTGGGCGAA